GGCCGGCTGGTCTTTCCCGATCTTTTCCCCGTTACTCCGCCGCCATCCTCTCCTCCTCCCTTGCTCCTTCGTGTCTCTCCCTCCCTCGCCGTCCCCTCGCCACTCTTCCCTTGCTCTTCACTTTGGCCTCTCGCCATCTCCCTCTTTCCATTCTGTCCACTTCTCCGCTGTCCTCACAACATCCCCACCTTCTCTGTCTCTCCTCCTTGCCCTCTTTCCCCCCCCGCTTTCCTCGCTTTTCCTCGCCCCCATCCCCCCCTAGTGCCCCTTCCCTCCCATCCCTCCCCCCTCGCATTAGCTCCCCTCGCCCGCATCGCCCTTGCCCTCGTTTCTTCCTTTCCTTCCCTGCCTCCGACATTCCTTCCCTCCCCCGCTCCCCCCGTATCTCTCCTACCTCCTCTGGCTCCTCTCCCACGCCCCCCTCCCTGTGTGCGTCTTTCGCCCTGTCCCCCTTCCCCCCCTTCTCTCCCCTCCCCCCTCCCCCCTCCCTCCCCCCTCCCTCCCTTAGTTCCCTCGCCTGGCGACGCGCTGCGCAATGCACTCCGCCGCGAGGGCGAGCTGGGCCAGGGGTCGAGGAGGAGGGGGGCGGAGGAGGGGGAAGTTGAGAGAGGGTGGGGGGGGGGGAGGACGAACGGGGGCGGCAGGGGAGGGAAGGATATATAATATAAAATATGTGAACGGGATATCAGGCGGAAATGGAGGGATGGGGGTTACACTTTCGGTTTGTGCGGCATGTGCTGGCATGTTGCACCCAGGCGTACTATTGGTTCCCAGTATTTGCAACTCATTGCCTCAATATGTGCAACGTACTGTGTTGCGTCTGTGGGGATGCGTGGCCAATGCCTTGAAACGTCCGCAGTCTTTCATGGGGCGCGCGAGCCTGGTCGCGCAGCGCGTGCGTACTCATGCGCCTGGCTCGGCACCGGAGCCATACTTGCCAACGCAGACATGGGCGCTCTGTGATAGAGCCAACTGTGGATCCTATGATATGTCTGTTTGTGCACTTTCGAGGCTACTGATATGTAGCGGGCACGCGTTGTCAAAACCCCTCCACGGGAGGACCGTCTCTTTGGGCCATCATTGGCTCGATTCGCCATCCTTGCAGGCGTATGCGTACGTCAGGGTGGGTGACGTTTCACTTGCTCGTCCATATACAAAAGGCGTGGTGTTCCTTTGTCAAATTCCCGAAGTAGCGAAACGATTGATTTGTAATTCTGGTGTCGTGAGTGTGCCGATCACTTTTGGGAAATCGTTCAATGTTTGCCAGGTATGTTGTAAGACTGTTCAAACCCTGGCGGTCGTACTTCACCGCGCGCAAAGCATGCGACTGCTTCGTTGGTATATGTTCGTTTTGGGGGTGGTTGCGTTTTTTCCTAGCCGCCCAGGTTCAGTGCGCGTTTCGGCTCACCGACATCGCGCGCGCACCTTGGAGCTCTGATTCGCATTAAGAAAGAGTTGCGCTACGCAGCGCAGGGCCGAGGCATGATATTTTGAATGATAAACGCCCGTGCCAGCGCAGACGTGTCGCTCTGGCCGGCCACCGTTTGTCACGCTATTCGAAGGCAGCGCGTGGATTTCATGCGCCGTTGACGTTCCCCGATGACTGTCCTTGGGCCGTGCTCCTTATCTTGCGTCGTTATTTCTGCCGGCCCGTCGTCGCGACTTCTGCCCGCGCTGGCGCTTTCGTTTACGTTCGTCCCCGAAGCGCTTGACTGGTGCAGTGGTTTCCAAAACGTTTCGATTTAGTTGTCTCTCCGCATGCCCCTGGGGCCGCGACCCGGTCTTGCGAGAGCGACGCTCTCAGGAAGGGTCTCATTCGCTCCCTGTGTTTGCGCACTTCCGCCTTCTTTGAAAAAAGGGTATGGTTTGGTAGGGGTCGGTTTGGCCGCGCCCGAACATACCTACCAATCTACATACATACATCCATATATACGTACAACCATACATACAACTGTACATACATACATATTTACATACATACATACATACATACATACATACATACATACACATATACATACATACATACATACATACATAAACACATACATACATACATACATACATACATACAAACATACATACGTGCATACATACATACATACATACATACATACATCCATACATATATATACATACATACATACATACATACATACATACATGCATGCATGCATGCATGCATGCATGCATGCATGCATGGCATACATACAAGCATACACACACAATCATACATACATACACACACATGCATACATACATACATGCATACATACATACATACATACGTACATACAAACGTACATGCACACACATACATACATACATACATGCATACATACATACATACATACATGCATGCATGCATGCATGCATGCATGCATGTATGCATGCATGCATGCATGTATACATACGCACATACGCACATACATACATACATACATACATACATACATACATACAGACATTCAGACAGACAGACAGACAGACAGACAGACAGACAGACAGACAGACAGACAGACAGACAGACAGACAGACATACATACACATGCATGCGTGCATGCATGCATGCATGCATACATACATACATACATATGTACCGCTGGATTCGTCCCCGCAAGGGGCCATCAACTGCCCCCGGGCAAGGGGTCGGGACATTGCCCCCCGCCCCTCTGATCGATCCGCCGTCTGCGCCTCCTCGGCGCTTTCCTCGGGCGCGGCCCCCAGGGGAAGGTCGCGGCCGGGCGCCACCCTGGCCCTGGCGGGTCGGAGCTGGGCGCCAGCGGCGGATCGAAGAGGCGGGCGACAAGTGTTATCGGCGATCAGCCGCGCCCGATCACGCAATCACAATGAGCTCTGCGATCGGTCAGGTGAGGAGGGTGAGGGGCGGAGCAGGAGGAGGAGGAAGAGGAGGAGGAGGAGGAGGAGGAGGATGTTAAGGAGGAGAGGACAAGGAGGGGGGGGGAGGAGGAGGAGAAAAGAGGAGGAGGAGAGGGAGGAGGGGAGTCTAGGAGGAGGAGGAAGGGCGAGGCGGAAGGCGGAGGCGAGGCGGAGGCGGAGGCGGAGGCGGAGGCGGAGCGGAGGCTGAGGAGGAGAAAGGAGGAGGTAGGAGTAGGACAAAAGGAGCGGAGGCGGGGCGGAGGCGGAGGCGAGTGCGGAGGAGGAGGGGAGGGGGGACGGGGTAGGGGGAGGGGGAGGGGGAGGAGGAGAGGAGGAGGAGGAGAGGACGGAGGAGGCTGAGGAGAGGCGGAGGAGGAGATAGAAGGAGGAGGAGAGGAGGAGGATGAGGCCAAGGAGGGGGAGGAGGAGGAGAGGAGGAGGAGGAGGAAGAAGATGAGGAGTGGGAGGGGAGGAGGGAGGAGAGAGGAGGAGAGAGGAGGAGAGGAGGAGGAGGAAGAGAGGAGGAAGAGAGGAGGAGCATCAGCAGCAGCATGAGGAGGAGGAGGGAGGATGAGGAGGCAGAGGAGGAGGAGGAGGAGGAGGAGGAGGAGGAGGAGGAGTAGGAGGAGAAGGCAGAGGAGGAGGAGGAGGAGGAAAAGGAAAGGGAGGAGGAGGAAGAGGAGGAAGAGAAGGAAGAGGAAGAGGAGGAGGATGAGGATGAGGAGACGGACCAGTGTAAACCCAAGACTCATCAACGATGTTGGAGTAAGCGCTCCCTCCAACCTCCCTCTACATAGGCTCATACAAGGGTTCAATTCCACTTAGGGAAGGGCCCCATTGAGAGGCAACCGCTTGAAGGGAGTCCAACGCCACGAATCAACCTGACCGTTGCCTCTTGACGATCCTGAATCGCGCCAGAACGCCATTCCTCGGATTTCACGGCGAATCAACGTAACCGCTGCGCCGTGACAATCCTGAAGTGTTCCCGAACAAGCTTTCTGGTACGCTGAGCATGGGCATCCTTGAAACACTTGCACATGTTCAAAGACGAGTGTGCGCGGCGCGGAGGCGAGAGCCACAGTTTGAAAACCACCTGCTCTTAATCCGTGCAGCTCCTGCAACTGTTTAAGAAGAGTATGCGCGGCACGCCGCCCGCCCTCCGTCCGTCAAGTTGTAAGGGAATCTCAGGCGATACGCCCGGCTCGCCCGTCTGACAGGCCTCGGGGTGCGACAGGCAGGAGTTATTCACGAGGACAACGAGAGAGGCATTGGAGGAGGAGGAGGAGAAGGAGGCGAGGAGGTGGAGGACCATCAACAGCAATAGCAGGAGGAGGGCTGCTGCTGCTGCTGCTGCTGATGATGATGATTATGATGATGATGATGATGATGATGATGATGATGATGATGATGATGATGATGGTGATGATGATGGTGCTGATGATGATGATGATGATGATGATGACGATGATGATGATGACGACGACGATGCTGATGCTGCTGCAGATGATGATGGTGATGATGATGGTGCTGATGATGCTGATGATGATGATGATGATGATGATGATGATGATGATGGTGATGGTGATGGTGATGGTGATGGTGATGGTGATGGTGGTGATGATGATGATGATGATGATGATGATGATGATGATGATGATGATGATGGTGATGGTGATGGTGATGGTGATGGTGATGGTGATGTTGATGGTGATGATGATGAGGAGGAGGAGGAGGAGGAGGAGGACGAGGAGGAGGAGAATGAGGAGGACCACCAGCAGGAGCAGCAGGAACAGACGGAGGAAGAGAGGGGAGATGACACATAGAGGGATGAGCAGGCGGAGCAGCGGCATCAGCAGGTTTTGAAGGAAGAGGAGGAGGGGACGCGGAACTATAATGACGAGGAGGATGGAGGAGGAAAGGTTCATGGCGAGGCGAAGGATGATGACGACGGTGGTGATGCTGAGGAGGATGTGGAGGAACATGATGATGATGATCAGGAGGAGGAGGAGGAGGAGGAGGAGGAGGAGGAGGAGGAGGAGGAGGAGGAGGAAGAAGAAGAAGAAGAAGAGGAGAAGGAGGAGGAGGAGGAGGAGGAGGAGGAGGCGGATGAGGAAGAGAAGGAGACACAGTAGGACGCCGAGGCCCTCGCCATCCACCTGCTGAACGACATGCGCGAGTGCGCGCTGGAGCGGCACGGCTACAATTTTGGCGGGGTGATCAGCGCGTGCAAGAAGGCGAGCCACTGGGGGCTCACGACCCTGCTGCTGGAGGACGCCCGCTTCGCCTGGCAGGGCAAGGCCCGAGCCTGGGCGGGACAGCTCGCGCCTCTCCTCTGCCCTCGCCGTCGCCTTTTCCTCCGCCCTCCTCCCCACCCCCTGCCTCCCGCTCCCTCTGTCGCTCTCCCTCCCTCGATCCTCCCTCCTTCACCCCTTCTTGTCTCCCATCTTCCGTGTCAGCTACGGCCACTTCTCCTCCTCCTCCACCTCCTCTTCCTTCATCGCTCTCTTCTTTCCTTCCCCCTCCCCTCCTCCTCCCCCTCCTCCTCCTCCCTCCTCCCCTGCCCTCCTCCTCCTCCCCCCACTCCTCTCCTCCTCCTCCTCTTCCTCCTCCTCCTCCTCCTCCTCCTCCTCCTCCTCCTCCTCCCTCCTCCCTATCTCCTGCCACTCCCCCCTCCTCCTCCTCCTCCTCTTCCCTCCTCCCCTCCTCCTCCTCCTCCCCTCCTCTCTCCTCAGATAGTTGCGAAGGCGAAGGCCTGGTGCCGCCGACCCTGAAGACGACGAAGGTGAAAACGAGCGGGGGGGGGTAGGAGGCGGAGGAGGAGGAGGATTGGGGGGAAAGAGGAAGGGTGGAGGAGGCGGATGAGGGAGGAGGAGGAGGTGGGGGGGAAGGAGGAGGAGGAGGAGGAGGAGGAGGAGGAATGGGGGATCGGCGAGAGGAATGCGGAGGAGGATGAGGAGGAGGAGGACGACGAGGAGTGGGGGAGCAGCGAGAGGAAGCGAGTAGGAGCAATCATTTCTGGAGGCCTCGGCTCTCGACGGAAATGGGAGGAAGAGGGCGGAGGCAAAACCTTTCCGAAGATCAATGAACCTGGCCTCTCCGGGCCTCTCCGGGCCTCTCCTGGTGGAGCTCTTTTGACCTGTCTGAGGGCCCCCTCTGGCCGTCCTTAGGCGTTTTGGGGTTGTCTTGTGGGGCTTGGGCCGTCTAGGAGCGCTCTTGTAGAGTCGTGGCGACCCCCCCTCCTCCAACGCATCTGCAGAGGGCCCCCTTGTAAAAACCGCAAGCGGGGGATAGTATTTTGACCCGGGACCCTCGCCCCCCTGGCGGGGAAGGGATCAACGGGAAGGGGCTTCCATTCGACTCAATGACAACGTTGTTATTTTCATTTGGCTGGGTTGCTTCATTTCGCTTTGGCTGGCGCGCTTGAGGACGAGTGCCCAGGGAAAGAGGGGGGGAGCGGCGACGGACCCAGAAAAGATGACGAGTCATGCTGGCCACACCCTCCAAACTCACAGCTGTGAAGGTGCAAGGCACACAACAAAGATTTTTAAGGTCAAAGCTCACCAGTCTCTCTTGGAAGAGTCGTTGCATCTTGCTGAAATATTTTCGAGACTTGGCAATGACTGCGCCGATCGAGGAGCGAAAGCCGCCCTCGAGCCTCGAGTTCCTCGCAAGTGATGGCGACCTCATGGAAGAGGTCAATAGGCAAGTTAAGTTTGTTTCAGCATTCTGCCGCGCTGCCATGAAAGTGTTTCCTCTGTTTCCGTCCCTCAAGGAGGTCAGGGAAGGTTGAGTATCGACCGATCCCAGCACCATTGAGAGAAAAGGCGGCGCTCGAGTGCCACTGTGTAGGGATTGATCGCCTTTGGCGATGTGGCTTGTATTGCAGGGCCACCCGTGAGGCGGATGTTTCACTGCCTCGTTGATGTGCGCGCCTCGGCCACCAAGGCGAACATGCACGGGCGACGCTTAGGCTTGGACCTGGCAAGGATCGATGGCAATCGCCACCGCATTGTATGTTTTCTTGTTCGGACAGTTCCTCGCTATTCATCTGTTTGCACCGTGCCGCTTTCGCGTGTGCTGTATCATCTTCTTTGAGAGTCGGCATGGTGGGTGGGGACTTGTATCTTGCTGGCTTAGGGTCTGGGCTTGGCGTGTTTCGGGGAGAGACTTGGCGAGCCGGGCTGAATGTCGCGGGCAAAGGTGTGGTTGCTGGCATTGTGCTGGTCATTGTACTGAAGCTGCTGGTAGGCATGGTCGCGCGAGTCATTTGGGCTGTATTGTCGGTTGCGGTCGTCGATGTAAGTTGCTCTTTGTGGGTGGTTCCTCCCTGTGAGGTCGGTTCGCGCTTCGGGGGTATCTCGATGTGGATCTCACGCTCGAAGATGCTGTGGTCGTCGCACGGTGCAAGTATGGGTTTCGGGCTGCGTATCTGCTTGATGCGATGGAGGATGCGGCATGCGCGTGGAGGGTGGGGGCCTAGCTCGCGCATAGGTGCGACAACGAGCAAGTTGTTGCCGAACATGATGAAGGGCTTGGTGTCTAGGATCAGCTTGAAGTGGGAGAAGAAGAGGCCTTGTGCTTGCTCGCTGTACCATAGATGTGCTCGATGGACGCATTCGTGGACGTCTGGGTCCCGTAGGCAGTCGGCCCGCATCTTTTCGAGTAGGTCGTGGATCGTGAGTGTCATGGCTTTGTCAACCTGCTCGCGTATGGCTGGGTGATCTGGCATTGGGGGGTAGTCGGTGAAGGATGGGGGGCGCATTGGCCTCAGGCTGCGGTGGAAGCAGCCGTCCCCGGTGATGCTGAAGGCCTCGATGTTCTGGTCGGTGAGTTGCCGAGTACAGCATGGTTCGTAGCTGGAGTCGCCTGGGAATTTCCACTGAGTGGCGCCGGTGTCCTTGCTGTGGTAATAGGCGAGGCTTCTCGTTGCGTCGGCGTGCGCTGTCCAGCCAGACGGTAATCTCCCATGGTGGGATTGGTCGGGTGGGAGAGTGTCACCTTGCTTGTACGTTGGTGGGTCGCATGGGCTGCGGAAGCATCGGCTGGCCCCTGGCGTCGTTGTGGTAATTTGTATGGGGGTTCTGCCTGTGGGTGGGCCAGGCTGTGGGGGCGGCTGGTTAGGAATCGGGGCGTTGGCCTGCTGGTACAGGAGCTGGGAGACGTTCGGTACGGAGGTTGTTATGGTTTGGTGGAGTTGTGGAGTGGATCGTCGCTGGATGAGCTGTAGGTCGGTGCGTGTAGTAGTTGTGCGCGTTGGGCGTTGTACTTGTTGTGGTCGAGCCTTTGGGAAAGCCGTGTGCCAATCGGGGAAGTTGTTGTGGGTCCATTTGATGGGCTCAAAGCCAGAGTTGCGTAATTTGTGGCAGTAGTGAAGCAGGTGACGTGAATTGTGGCTCTCCTCGCCGTCGATGAGATACTGGCTTGCTTTGTGGGCCTCATAGTCGGATAGCTTGTCGATGTCGGTAATCTTTATCTGCATGATGCCGCCAAGCATGATCTTTGTAGGTTGCTTGTGCTTCGGTGCGTCCTAGTCGGGTCGCTGTCTCGTCTCGGGGGGGGCATCCCCGTTGGGGGTGAACTCCACGTGGAGGACGATGATCTCCCGCTTGGTGGCCTCGGAGTGGACGTCGGTGGTTCCGTCGATTCTTGTTGCGTCCCGTTGGTGCATCGATCGACTAGTACTCGTTGTCCTCTAAGGTCCGTCTCGTCACAATGTAGTTCACCTGTTGTTTGTGGCGTAATTTGGTGGCGACCGGTGGGTAAGATGTAGTTGTCCGTATATGGGTGTAGTGCTCCTCCTCCGCGGGTTTCAATGATGTCTCTTGCGCATGCCGATAGTATCCCTATCTCGGAGGTCAGATGCAGGGTGCCGTGGATGTCGGTGATCGCCACGATGTAGATCTTCTGGCTGTATCGCTCGATGTTGTTGTGGATGGCTTTGCGTTATATATCCTTGAGGTTGTTGCGCTTCTGCATTGCTTTTTTGAAAGATGTGTAGGGTTTGTAGATCGGTGAACGGCTCCTCGTCTATGTTCGTCCACGGTGGTGCTTGGAGCTGCGGTGGGTATGTGCTTGCGAGTGATAGGATGTCTTGCGATTCCAACTTGTGGACGGGCATCTTCTTGGAATCGCGGTCGTTCGCAGCGTCTTCTGGTGTGTCGTAAACGGTGTCCCAATTCTCCTTGACTTTGTCCTTCCAGCATTCACCCGTTGCGGCGAGGTAGGCGATGGTGATGTGGTGACGGTAAGTGGTTCGCACAAATCTGCCTTTCAGTGCAGCGGGGGCGTAGATGTAGCCCAGGTCGAGGTGGACGTACGTATAGTTGCGTGTGAGGGCGTTGGATATGTTGATTCTTTGCGATGGCCTCAGAATGCTTGAGCACGCAGTAGCTCCTTCTGGTTCGGCTCGGGGGGTTCCTGGAGTATAAATGAGCGCCTTCTTGTTGTCGTAGCCCTTGCTGTCGGACACGAGGGTAGGCATTCCCTCTTGTTGGTGCTCTGGTGGAGCCTCGCTCCGCGTCTTACGTGGAGCTGCGTTAATGGCTGCGACTGGTTGTTGGCTAGCGTGGTCAAGGTTCTTAACTCCATTGGTGCAGTAGGAGCTTGAATGGTCCTCCTCCTCCTCCTCCTCTTCCTCCGCCTTTGCCCCCCCTCTCACCCTCCTTCACAATTTCACAATCTGAATACTAGTCTCCTCTCTCCCCTGATGACGTCCAGAAGAGATCGGCCCCCCCGCGGCGTATTGTTTTTTACACCGGATTCCAGGGAACTGGGTTTTCGCTTGGGCTTGCGTTCAAGATGTTGCTCCCGCTGAAGCGTTGGCCTCATTTTCGGGCTTCCGCTTGTTCCGAATCGTGTTCCCGCTGCAGCGGTGGCCTCATTTCCGCGCTTCTGCTCGTTCCGAATCGTGCTCCCGCTGCAGCGCTGGCGTCATAATTTCCAGTGCCATGCCACGGCACGGTTCTCGGTCCTTCATACAGGCCCCAACATCTAAAACATGTCACCCCGAAACAACCATCGGGTGTAATTCCACATTCGGTGTCGATTCGCTGATCTTCTGAGCCGCAGAAGCCTCCACTTTGGGGCATCGCCGCGCCATGCTACGCCATGCTACGCGTTGATCTTCAACACCATGCTATGCCATGTAATGCTATGCCATGCTGCGACATCCGGCTGTGCGAATAGGGAGGAGATCTACGCCATGGTCAGGGATGGGGGGGAGGGGTATGACGCCAGCGCGCCTAGCCTGCCCTGCACCCCTCCCCCCCGTCCCCTCTCCTCCCGCCGCCCTGGCCCCATACCCAGAGATCCGACGTCGTGATTTTTGTCAGTGCGGGGTCCCTGGAGGTCTCGACCAATTCCCCAGGACTGGTTTTTCATCCGGAGTCGTTTTTTGACGGTCCTGGAGCCCGGCGAGGGCCCATCGAGGCCGAAAAATGCGAAGAACCGACGTCTTGTTTTTTCAATACGTTGGATCTCTGGGTCCCTGGGGTCATCTGGCCAGCCCGCTCGTCGGACCGCCGGCGGGCGGCCGAACCGCAGGTGGACGACCGCAAGGGCGGGGCCGGCACCGGCCTCTCGGCCTCGTTCGTCGACGACGACGAGGACTCAAGCAGTGGCTGAGCGTCCCGGCTCGCCTACAGGCCCACCACAGAGTGTTCTGAGAACCTTTTGTGGTCTGCACAAGATGGTCTGAGAACGTTTCTGGCTCAGACTGCTTTGTTTTAGCACATCGGGCTCATGTTCTAAGAGCCTTGTTTCTCCTAGGAACATGTGTGGGTTCTAAGAACATGTCGTGGTAGGCCTATAGGAATGCCGGGACGGTCGGTCCCTGCGCAAGTCAGCTGCGCCGTAACGGGTACTCACTAACGGGTACTTTTGAAAGTTGCCGAAAGTTGCCACTTTAGGGCCTCTTTGTGGCATTGCAGCGTTGCCCACATCGGGGAGGGTTAGGTTCGCAGGGTCACTGGCCAAAGTACCCGTTAGTGGAGTCCCCGTTAGAGGGGCGCTGCTCGAGAGGACGGGGGCGGGGCGGCCCGATTGTGGCCGCCAGGCCGCCAACCAGCGGTTGGGCGTCGTGGCCCCCGTTGCCCCCCTGCCTCCGTTTGCTGCCCCCTCTCCCCGTCGTCGCTCGCAGCCGCAGGAAGAGGGATCGGGGCTGGCAGGGAGGAGGGGGAGGAGGGGGAGGAGGAGGAGGAGGAGGAGGAGGAAGAGGAGGAGGAGGAGGAGGAGGAGGAGGAGGAGGAGGAGGAGGGAGAGGCGGAGGTGCTGAGCAGGGAAAGGAGGAGAAGGAGGAGCATTAGGAAGAGGAAGATGAGGATGAGGAGGAGCAGCACCCAGAAAATTACCAAGCTCGCTATAGGCTTGAAGGGTACCTAAGCCCGTCTTCAGGATGAGGGTGGCATCGGCGAAATATCGGAGACTGTGGGGCAGCTTGCGGAAAATCCGTGCTGCCAGAAGCCAGAGGTTGTCTGACAATGGGTCTGCACCCTTATAGTAAATGGGGTGGCCGAAACCTAGCGCCAGGGGGTGTGATGCCACTGACTGTGGTGGAGCGAGTCCACGGGGAGGATGTGTATCCAGACCCCCCCATCCGAGATTCCGGCCATGCCTTGAAAAGCCCTGAGGTTGACACCCGCCAGTCGACTTTCGATTGAGATGGAATTCTTGGTTCTTTGGCTCTGGAACTCCTGGCGCTCGGTGCATCTGCCATTGCCACCGGGCCGCCTGAATAGTCGTGCGATGGGAGCGCGAGGCATACACTCGTTCCGCCCTCTTGAGGCCTCCAGGGCAGGGCCACGCTCCTGCCCAGGCCCTGGAGCGCAGTGCGCGCTTGCTGGATCGAGCGTCACCTCGCCACCGTGGTTCTCGTGGATGCTGCCTGCCCTGCGCACGTGCAGGGTCGGAAGATACCGAACAGCACAGAGACAGAGGGGAGGATATCGCATGCGGCCTAGAGGTTGACACAAACACCAAGATCGGCGGTGTGCATCCACCGAGGGAAGAATATCCCGATCTCGGTGATGGTGGTAGTATTCGGGCTTCCAAGGTGACCGAGACACTGCCACCCACACCGGAATCTAGGATCATCTTCCCCATGTGGAGGCACCCCCTTGTGTTGGTGTTGGTGCCCATTTCTAGGCCTCCAATGATGTGAAGGATGGGACAGCGGCGAGCTCGAGAAGCACGGGGACGGAGGGGATGCCCCCGTGGGGAAGGACGGGAGCCGAAGCGGTGGGGACGGGAGAAGGGGGAAGCGGACGGGGAACGGGGGAGCAACAGCGGCGGGTTGGAGCAGGAATGGGGAGGAGGGGGGGGCACGAGAGAAGGCCCCAATCAAGCCCCCAGGCGGGACACAGACTAACCGCAAGCGCGGCGCGCAATGCACGTCGCACCAAGTCGAAACGAGCATCGAAGTTTTCAGTTTCATTGCAGACGGCTGCACACATTAGTATCGAAGACTTCAGTTTCATGGGAAACGGCATACCATAGGATTTCGAAGCACTTCGGGACCCAATAGCCGTTGACTATTCGGGGCGAGGGGACCTCTTGGAGGCGAAGTCCCTGCATTGAGACAGGGTTCTTCCCTTCAGGTGCCCCCTGTTCGCAGGGCCTCAAGGAGGCCGCTGGCCAGCCGGGCAAATGATCTGTCGGTTGCGGTCGGTGCCGCAGGTGGGAGTTGCCTTGTCAGCAGACGCCCCCCCCCACTTGGAATCTTGAGTATTGCGTATGGATTGATGCACTTCGACTTCGGGACGCCTTGCGACGTCTTTGTTGGCCCAAACAAAAATGTGCGCCCAAGGCTGTTGCCCAGCCGTCTCTGGCTTTTCGCGTTGACAACAGTTCTCGTGGTATGGATACTTCGATATGTTCGTGCTCCGCTCGAGTCCATTGCCTCTGATCTGGCTCACCACTATCATGTGATGAACACCAAGCCCGAAAGAGGGAAGGAACAGAAAGCACGGCGAAATAGGTTTTTGACTTGCGAGCGCGCTGTTCTCCAGAATTTGTGCCCCCACAGCCGTCGATGACGGCTTGTATCCTCAAGGCAATCTTGAGCGGTCCCGAGTCTGTCGCCACCACCTGCACCGGTTTGTGTCCGTCCTCCGCCCGAGACGTGGTAACTGGTCAATGGTCAAGGACTGGGCAAGGCAGGCGTAAGTGAGTTCATGCCATCCCCCATGACACAAAATCATAGCTGAAACCGCTTAGACACCACGTCGACTTGTATGCGCACGTAGGTCGGGACCTATGCTAATAGACATGCATAACATAATTATACGGCCCGTGGATCTTCGAAGGGGGTGCTATTCATTTCCTGCACCAGCTAGAATCGTATCCCCCCCTGCCGGCGATGCAAGGCGCAATGACATAGCTGCATTCGGGTAGTGCTTCTGTCGCCCAGAGGAAGTGGGCGACAGCGGGATGGATGGCCCGGCGGGCCCAATCAAAGTCGAGGTCATCAAGCAGGCGCCCGGGCTGATCGCCGTTCTGAAGCCGCCGGGCGTCACCAGCGTCGACCTCCTCATGCGCCTGCAGGAGTACCTGGCGGTCCAGGGGCAGCCGAGCCCCATCACCTGCATCTCGCGCCTGGACATCGGCACTCCGTGTGGAATCTGAGGGTGGGGGGGTGATGGGCCTGTTTTCCGCCACCACCACTATTAGCTGGAGGGGGGGAGGGGGTGGAGGATGAGGAGGAGGAGGAGGAGGAGGAGGAGGAAGAGGAGGAGGAGGAGGAGGAGGAGGAGGAGGAGGAGGAGGAGGAGGACCCCCTCCCCCTCCTACTTGTGGTGGTGGCGGTGGAAAGCAAGCCCACTAGGGGCGACGGCCGCCCCTGTCTGGAGCACTGGCCGCAGTCTCGGCCGCGCGAGGGGGGCACGCGGAGGGGGTGTGCTGCCCAAGGTGGATAAGGCCAGGGAGCGCGAGCCTGGTGCGAGGCCGACGCGCCTCCCTCCCCTCCAGGGGCCGTCCGGAGCGGTGCTTCCCAGGCCGGGCTTTGCGCGCAAGGGGCTCCTGTTTTGGGGGAACAGTCAATGACATAAACAAAACAAACTCGGAGGTCCGCGCGGATTTCTCGGATCGGCGCTGGACCCCCCTGGCGGCGCCAAGAAGTCCGCGCGGACCTCCGATGTTTTATGTTTCTGTCATTATTCGTTCCCCTTCTCCTCATCCTCCACCTCCTTCCCCCCTCCAGCTTATGGTGGTGGGGGTGGAAAACAGGCCCATCCTGTTTGCTTGTGGAAGAGACCTATCGGTGCGGGGCTCTTCGTCAGGGGCGGCCCTGGGCGCTACCCATAGGTTCCTCGGGCGCTGCTCGGGGTTCCTCGGGGCTCTCGGGAGGGCCAAGCCAAGCAATGCAGAGCCATGCCAAGCAACGATCCAACAGCACCGCCAAGAGACGCCAAGCAATGCAAAGCCAACGCCAAGCAAGGCCAAGCAATGCAAAGCAATACCAAGCAACGCCAAGCACCGCCTAGCAACAGACAAGCAAATATTCCAAGCAATGCCATGCAACGCCAAGCAATGCCTGCTAAGCAACGCCAAGCACTCCAAAGCAATGCAAAGCCACGCAAAACAATGCAAAAAGCAACGCAAATCAATGCAACACAATGCCAAACGTGTAGTTGCGGTGCATAGCTTTGCATTGCTCACAATTGCCTAAAGTTGATCTTGAAGGAAGGAGGCCTCTAATTGGGGTCGCGCCGGGCTCTTCTCCAAGCCCACCTCTGGGCCCTGCCCTGGCTCTCTGCGCCCCCCCCCCCCGACAGATGGACCTGGACTGCCCGGGACAGCCTCGGGACTGGACAGTCGAGGTGCCCCCGCAGATTCGACACGAGGCACTTCGGGCACCCTGGTGGCCGCGCTCGGCGGGGACGGCTCCATGGCGGCTCACGTCTCGCGGACGCAGTTTGCGGGGCGCATGGTATCCAAGGACTGGTGGAGCAGGTGAGGTGTAAAGGCGGACAGCTCCTCCCTCCACCTCCAGCACCCTCCCTTCTCCTCCCCTTCTCTCCTACGTGCTTACCGGGTGCGGACTCTGTCACCTCCTACCTGGCCAGCCCCCCACCTCTGGCCACACTCCTGTCCCTCCCTCATGTATCTGACGCTCGCTTTCCCTTTCCGTCCTCCCTCCCCTCCCTCTCTCTCTCTCTCTCTCTCTCTCTCTTTCCCCCCATTCCTTTTCTCTGTGTCGCCCCTCCTTACCCCCCCTTCCTCCCTCCTCACCCATGCTCCCTCCCTCGCCTTACCTTCCTCCCGCTGGCGCGGAATCCTGCCTCCTTCCTTCCTTCCCTGCCTCCTTCCTTCCTTCCTTCCTTCCTTCCTTCCTTCCTTCCTTCCTTCCTTCCTTCCTTCCTTCCTTCCTTCCTTCCTTCCTTCCCTGCCTCCGTCCGTCCATCTTCTACTCGGCCCGTGTGGTCTCCTCTTCAGGAGGCGCCCCGCGCGCCGTCCTCTTTAGGAGACGTCCAGCGCGCGCGCGGAACGGAGTCGGCGCTCGCCTTGCCTCGCCTCCCTCCTTCCTGCCTCCCTCTTTCTTCTTCCTCCCTCCTTCCCAGACACCCGACGTCATGCTTTGTTGATGACGTCGACCCCCAGGGGTCTCGCCTTCGCCTCCCAGGGACTGGCTTTTCATCTTGAGTCGTTTTTTGACGGTCCCGCGGCCGGGTAAAGGGGTAACGGCTCCCAGAGGCCCAACATGGAGAACAAAAACCGCGCCGTGATTTTTGTCACGGCTCGATGAGGGTCTGGGGAGGTGGAGCTGGATGTTCCTTGCGAAAACCCTCAAGTCGTGAACTTCGTCATGACTCGAAGGGATCTGGGTTCCTCACCTCTCTCCTCCTCCTCCTCCTCCTCCTCCTCCTCCTCCTCCTCCTCCTCCTCCTCCTCCTCCTCCTCCTCTTCCTCCTCCTCCTCCTCCTCCTCCTCCTCCTTCCTCGCCAGCTCCGATGTCCCCCTCCTCCCCTGGCGAGGAGTACCTCGCCCTGTGCACGGGCCGGCCGCTGGGCCCCGTGGGCTACTGCGGAGAAGCGGGGGCCCGGCTCTCCGAGGGGAGGCTGCCGAAGCCGCGTCGGGCCCTTCGAGGGGAGGACCTCCCTCCCTCCCTCCCTCCCTCCCTCCCCTCCTCCCTCCCCTCCCTCCTCCTCCTCTCCTCCTCCTCCTCCTCCTCCTCCTCCTCCTCCTCCTCCTCCTCCTCCCTCCTCCTCCTCCTCCTCATCTCATCCTCCCCCTCCCCCTCCTCCCCCTCCCCCTCCTCCTCATCCCTCCTCCTCCTCCTCCTCTCCTCCTCCCCCCTCCTCCTCCTCTTCTCCTCCTCCTCCTCCTCCTCCTCCTCCTCCTCCTCTCCTCCTCCTCCTCCTCCTCCTCCCTCCCTCCTCCCCTCCCTCCTCTCCTCCTCCCTCCTCCTCCTCCTCCTCCGCCTCCTCCTCCTTCTCCTCCTCCTCTCCTCCTCCTCATCTCCTCCTCCCCTCCCTCCCTCCTCCTCTCCCTCCCTCCCTCCCTCCATCCGTCTATCCCTCGCTCCCTCCCTCCTCATCCTCCCTCCTCCCGGCTCTCCCAGGGGAGGCCCTTCGCACTCTCCACTTGAGGCGTTCCAGAAGGTCGCGGAAGTAAAACGAGGCCGCGTCCGCCAGCGAAAGGGTGGCGGAAGGCGGCGAAAGTAAAAGATGCGCCCCCAAGAGATGAAAACGTTTTTGGGCTCAGGGTTTCTGAAATCGTCCACTTCGATGCTCGTTTTTCGGACCCTCCTGGGCCCACCAAACGGATGTGTTCGGCTCTACTTCGACCCCAGTTCGACTCTAGTTCGACTCCAGTTCGACTCGAGTTCGACTCAGGTTCGACTCAGGGCTGGCTCAGATAGATCGACTGACGTTCGACGCAGCTTCGACGCAAGAGTGGAGCGAGTGTCTCCAGGAAGGTCCCCAGAATGAGCATCCAACTCCACCTCCTCAGACCCCCTCGAGCCATGACAAAAATCACGGCGCGGGGGTTTTCTTCATTTTCGGCGTCTGGGGGCCCTCACCGGGCCGCGGGACCGTCAAAAAACGACTCGGGATGAAAAACTGGTCCTGGGGAATGGGTCGAGACCCCTGGGGGTCGACGTCATGAAAAAATCATGACGTCGGGTGTCTGGGTCCCCGGCTCCCTGCAGTCCCCACCCCTCCCTCGGTGATGCTCGTGCTGGCCGAGCGCTTCGCACTCTCCACCTCCCCTGCTCCCTGCAGTCCCCACCCCTCTCTCAGGGATGTTCGTGCTGGCCGAGCGCATGACCATATTGGCCATATTGCGGGTGCGTCTCACGCTCGGGCGCGTTCGCCCGCATGTTCGCTCTTTTCCCAAGCCTGTTTCGCTGACTGTTTCACCCTCTCTTTTCTTGGACTTGCCTCTTCGGAGGAACGCCAATCCAAGATCTGGCATCCAGCATCCCCTCCCCCCCAGCACGAAATCCGTCCCCCGCAAGTTCCTTCGTGTCGGCCGTCTTTAGGGGAACGAAGAATTACATAAACATAAGAATTCGGAGGTCCGCGCGGATTTCTTGGATCCGCGCTGGACCCCCCTCCCTGGCGCGCGGATTCGCGCCAGGGGCGGCGCCAGAGGCGCCGCCAGGGGACCCCCGCGCCGATCCGAGAAATCCGCGCGGACCTCCGAGTAGTTCTGTGTACATCATGGTTCGCCTCCCTGTTCCTGCCCCCAGGCTCCACATCGAGTCCATCTCCGGCGGCGCGCAGTCGAAGGCGTTCGCGTCCCAGGCCCCCGGGGGTGGCCCAAGAAAGCTGGGCGGATCCGCGCACCCCTGCCGGGCGGACCCGCGGGCAGCGTCCGCCGAGACCTGCGGGGCCGTCGGCGCCCGCAGACCACCCTGGGTCGAGGCCTCCACCTCCGCCTCCTCCTCCCTCCCCCTTCCTCTTCCTCCTCCTCCTCCTCCTCCTCCTCCTCCTCTTCCTCCTCCTCCTCCTCCTCCTCCTCCTCCTCCTCCTCCTCCAGCCTGGGGGCGTCTGGGGGGCCCACTGTGTCTAGTGGGCGTTGGTCGAGAGCTCCGAGCGGGGCCGAGGGGCCGTCGGGCTTGGGCGGGGCCCCATGCGGGCCCGAGTGTGTGGACGGGGCAGCGGCCGCCCTGCCTGTGTCCCCTGGAGCCCGTGGTACAGGGGGTGCTCCGCCCAAGGCCCTAGGGCCCGTGAAGCCTTTGACCGAGGTCATCAGGGGCCATCGGATGGCTGGCCCTTTCGTGTCGAGTTTGCGGTGGATCAGCATCCACGCGCCAATCCCCCGTGTTTGATGGCCCTTTTATGGGGCCCGTCAGCTGGGAGAGTAGTCGTCTCAGGACGGCCGCCTTGAGACACCTCGAGGCGGGTGGGCACCCTCGGACGGGGATCCCCCTACAGGGCGGGTTCCACAGCGCTTAGCGCTGCTCTGTCCTTGAGGCGCCCTGGTTTTCATAGCCGCGGCGACCCTCTCGAGCCTCGGGTCCTTCTCCTCCTCCTCCTCCTCCTCCTCCTCCTCCTCCTCATCATCATCATCATCATCATCCCTCCTCCTCCCTCACGCCACTTGGGCTCCAACCTGTTTGGGGCCGACTCTGGTGCCTACACGCGGCGCTTGAGGCACTGCAGACCGTCCGATCTCCCCACGGACCGCCTGCCGACCAAAGCCAGAGTTTCTCCAGCCATGACCGCGGCTCGCCAGTGGAGCCGCTGCTGCGCGTGCCATCGCGCTGAGTACAATGACATTCTCATCCGTCAGCAATGTTTCTGTGCGTGCGGCAAGAAGGTGGTGCTCTTCTCGCCCAAGACGAGGAAGCGCGACCAGCAGGCCGAGGCCCAGGAGCTGAAGCCCCCCGCGGCGACCAAGGTCACCGACCACCTGCGCGCGGCGCTCGAGGCCACCTCCGACCAGGAGCTTCGGGCGACGCTCCAGGCCAAGATCGATGCCCCCACGGCGAAGGGCAACCAGGGGTCGCCGCCGCCGTCTGAGGCCGTCCTGGTCTCGAAGGCGGAGGGCGTATGGAAGGACGCCAACCACAAGCACGACCAGGCGGTGGCCAACGTGCACCGCCTCAGGGCGGCCCTCAAACCGCCGAGGAGAAGGAGCAGCTTGCGGCGCGCGCCCTCGCCCCCGCCGAGATCGGCAAGCGGCAGGCGGCGCAGGCGCTGGCGCGGGCAGCAGGCCTCGACGCAGCGGCCGATAGAGCTGCGCAACATCAAGCAGGAGCTCGAGAAGATGCAGGCCACGTTCTCCAGCAAGACCCTCGAAGTTCAAGAGTGGCTTCGGAAGGCAGCCGAAGTCAAATCCACCATCTCGGAGCGCATGACCAAGAAGAGGCGTGCGCCGGACGGCCCCGCCGCCCAGGACGCCGCGGGGGCCGCCGCCCCGCCCACAGGCGCCCCCGAGGCACCTCCTGGCGGGGCTGCCGGCAGCGGCGGCGCGGCTGCCAGTTCAGGTGCTCCTGGCGCCGCGGGCCCAGGCTCTGCCGAGCACGAGTCGGCGGTGGAGCAGGAGGCGAAGCGGTTCTCAGCTGCCAAGTTCGCTGCTGCGGCGGCGGCGGACGGGCAGCGCGCTGCTAGCGCCGCCAAGGGCGCGGCCAAGGGCAGTGGCACCAAGACCAAGGCCAAGGACTGATGGGTTTCGCCTGGGGCTGCACGCAGCCCCCCTGAGGCAGCGGCAGCGACCCCGCAGCCCCAGGCGCCAGTTTTGTCATCGGCTGAGGCCGATTCATCAGTCAGTCGCATTTTCTTCGGCAGCGTCACGGCCACGGGTGATTCAGCTTGGTCGGTTTTACAATCCATCTCCGACGCGCACCAGTAAATTTGGGGTTGCAGAGACTCATGTGCCTGAGTCACAGCTGCGCAAGTGGGATGCTCGTGCGAGATAAGCTAGCCCCCGTCTCTTGGCGAACGCGGCGAGGCCTAGCGGACGCCAAAGGTCTCTCAATACTATTGACAAAGCCAACGAAGGTGGAGAGTGGCTTCTCTCACTGGGGCACCTTCAAGTGGAGTCGCTACACGAGGCTCGGTCCACCACTGCCCTACGGGCACCTGGGTCGGCAGCTCTCGACGGGTTCGTAGCTACCACCATCCACTGCAGCGGCTTCTCTTTCATTTTGTGTATCTGCTACGGCTTCACAGGCATCGGCCTGGAAGGTCGAAATTTGGTTCGTTTCTTCCGTCTCGGCGCACTGCTCAGCAACCTTCGGCTGCCGTGGATTTGCCTGGGCGATTGGAACGTGGAGCCGCCCGCCGTCGTCGCGTCTGGGTTCCTTGACCAGGTGCTCGGCCGCATCATCATTCCCGAGGAGGTCTCCTACACCTGCGACACCAGCACGCTGGGGAGCATGCTGGACTACGCGATCGTCAGCGAGGCCGCCATTCCGTGCATCGTTTCGCTCCAGCCTCGGTTGGACACTCCGTGGCGGCCGCGCATCGGCCTCTCCATTACCATCCGCAGCCACGGGCACCAGCTCCTGACGCGCAGGCTCGTCTGTCCTAGCCGCCTGCCCCAGGTTGCTCGCCCGTGCGCGCTGCCCGCTCCCGATTCCAAGTCTCCGATTGCCAAGCTTGGCAAGCAAGTCAAAGCAGAGCTTGCCCAAGCGGCCAGATGTGCAAATAATCAGGTGTCGCTCGGAGAACGCATTGGGGGCCAAACGAGCACTCAGGACTGCTCCCTCAGCACAGTCATACCTTCTGAACAGTTCTGTGACGAGTCTCCCGAGGTCGACCAGCGGCCCGATGAGGGGGATCCGTGGATTTCTGAGGATGCCCTCTGTCAAGTCCAGAGCAAAATCGAACCGTCGGTCATCCGTATCGTTGCCTCTCGTGACAGTTTTGAGACAGCTTGCAGTAATAGTGTCTTTCAGCCCCCCCCCCCCCCCCCCCAGCCAAAGTTGCGCCCCGTGCTACCCCCCCCCCCCCCCTTTAAGGAGGTCCCTACGTCAAAGGGGTTTGGGCAAGGTCCCAAGCCATCGTTTCACATCCCGTTCGGGGTTTGGGCACGGTGCCGCGAGCGAAATATGGGCACGACCCTGTTGGGTCCTCACCCCCCCTCCTCCTCCTCCGTCGCGTTTTGGCTTAACCCTCAGCACGTGAGGTCAGCCGTCTTGTGGCACGGCCAGTGGGTTTCCACTCTTGAGCAGGCCATTCTCTCGCGCCATCAGTTGCCCGCCGCCATCGGCGCGTGCAGGGCCCCTGGCTGCAGCTTCGCGGTCGAGCCCGTCAGCCGCAGCGGTCGGCAGCGCGAGGCCCCGCTGAGACGCCAACTGGCAGCTTGGCGGAAGAGAGTCTCATCCATATTACGTCAGTGCGTGCGGCACCTTGGCCGCGACAACGGCTTGAAGCAGTTGGTCCAGCTACGTCGAGCCTGCGTTCATCTCGCAAACGGCTTGCCTGAAGGTGTAGCCAGCTTGCTCAGGGCCGACGAGCCCAAGTTTGACGAGTGGACCGGGCTGCTTCTCAACGTCGGCGGTTGCACCGCCCGTGTGCTGGAGGCTTTTCAGGATCTGGCTGGTCGCATCGAGCAGAGGGCCCGCCGCCGGGCCACCAGGGGGTCTCTCCGCGACTTCAAGGCCTGGCTCACAGACCCCAAGTCCAGCGGCGCGGTGCATCGGTCTCTGCGCGAGGACGCCCCCCCCCCCCGCCAGGAGATCATCGTCGGCGGCTCGACCCTGGCCCGCCCCGATGATACCCTCGACGCCAAGGCGGGCCAGTGGAAGGCCATCTGGAACGCTCACCCTCACGACCCTCAGGCACTGAAGCAGATCGTCGACGAGGTGCGGGTGGCGGCCCACGACGAGCCGCTCCCGCCCATCACGGGCCCCGAGGTGCGTGCCGCCGCGCGGCGCATGAAGGGCAAGACGGGGATGGGCGCGGACCGCCTCGCGCCCGTGGACATCGAGCGTGTCCCCGACGCTGGCCTCGAGGAGCTGGCGGCTCTTTTTGAATTATCTAGAGACGGCCCTAGTATGGCCACAGCAGGCTCAATTGATCATCGGGAAGCCCCTCCCGAAGAAGGCTGATGGTGGCAGAATCATCGGCCCGACCTCCCTCGTGGGGGGGCTCTGGTCCCTTGTGCGGGAGGTCCACGTCCGCGAGTGGGCCGGCGTCGCCGAGGAGGGCTGGGGCGCCGCCGTCCTGGGCAACGCCTCCCTCCAGGAGGCGCTCTTCCGCGCGCTGGGGGACGAGGCCGCCGCGGCCATGAAGCTCGCCTCGGCCCATGGGATGCCCGACGCGCGGGGCTTCCACGACGCCATTCAGTGGGATATACTTCTCGGCGCGGCTTTGCGCTTAGGGTATCCGCCTGCGGTGCTCATGCTCGAGGCCGCCCAGTGCGTGGCACCTCGCACGTTGGAGCAATGTGGCGCAGTATGCGCAGTATGCGGAGGCACCCGTTTTGCCAAATGTATGGTTCACTTCGTGCTCGCAAGGATATCTGCAGTTCACGTTTCTCTCAGCCACAGGATTTGGGTGGATGACCTTTCTCAGCGGATGGTGGGGCCGAGCATCCATCTCCGCACCAAGGTCACATCATGCCTGGGCGACACGTGCGACGTGATGGCTACATGGAAGTTGGATGTTTCGCCCATGTCCGTCGTCGTATGTTCGGCCCACGGTGGCGCTGTTGAGATATCCCGCCGCTTACGTGCTCGGGGGTTTCAGGTGCGAGGTCAAGCATGCTAAGCTCCATTCCAAGATTCGCAGATACGCCTGAGCAGCCAAGACGTTCGCCACCACGAGCAGGCTTGAGAGGACCAGCGCTGCAG